GGTTTGAATAAGATCATGAAAGGGATGAGTGATTTAACCATGCAAGTCTCTGAACTCTAGAATTTGATTTCTAAGATAGAGTTACCAAGTTTCATGCAACCTTCACCAATTGTTTCAAACTCAAATTTGCCTTCAAATCTTTCTTATGACTGTTTATGACTCCTTTCTAAGCATCTAAGATCAAGCCTCAAAACTTTATACAATCTCCGAGAAGTCTACATTTGAACCAAAATCTTCAGCCTTTCATTCCCCAACCACTTATTCAAATAATTTTTCAATATCAAACTTTTGCACCACCACCAAATTCTCAAACTCTTGGTCAATCTATTGCTTAAAAATTACCTAAGAAAAAGAAATAGTTAGATTCTATCCCCATTTCATATTTGTTTGAGAGACATCTTGTTGCCCTTATGCCTTCAGAGCCTTTAAAACCTCTGTACCCAATATATTTTGACCCAAATACAAGATACGAATACCATGATGGGATTATGGGGCATTCTATTGAGAATTGTGAGGTTTTCAAACACAAGGTGCAATCATTCATAAATGCAAAATAGTTTGATCTAACTATAGTAGGGTATTAAAGATTTAAGAATAATGAAAAGGGGATGACATAATGATGAACATTGATGAGATTTTTTTATTAAAGAAGATCTTTATGTGATAGGTTGTTTGAAAAATAAAATGCTTTGTGCATTTCTTTTGTTTGTGAAATATTTTTTTTATATTAATATAGTGTTGTCTTTTTAAACCTAGATATGTGAATTATGGTTTGTTTTTAATTCTTGCAACTTTTTTAATTTCCACACTTTTCACCAAAAAGCTTTTTCATTTGTGTATTCATTGATTCATCCATTTATATATTTACTCAATAGAATGCAATTCATGTGTGCTCTAAAAAGAAAGAATTTTCTTTCAAGAATAATCCCTTATTTCTATAAAGGATCAAAAGAATATTGATTTGATATGAGAGATGGAGAAAATTATTGAGGGACTTTTTGCTTAAAGAAATTATCAACCCGAAGGACTTAACTTAGGACCTATAAGGGAAGAGTCATGAAATCTAAATGAATAGAGAAGGTATAGTCCTTTGGAAGAAAGGATTCAAGCTATTGAAGGTAAGGATAAATCTAGTGACGTAAAGGAATCCTAGTCAGTTCCAGATGTGGTTATTCCACCTAAGTTCAAGGTTTTGACATTTGAGAAATATAATGAAACTAGATGTCTTAAGATACAGTTGGCTCAATATTGTCATAAATGGTTAGGTGTATCGATGATGAAAAGTTACTTATTCATGCCTTTAAAGAAAGTTTGGCTGGGGCAACAACCAATTGGTATTATAGTTTAGAAAGCAACTAAATTCATACTTGAAGGGATTTATCTTAGGTGTTCTTGAAGTGGTATCAGTTCATGTTGGAGATGGCTCTAAATTGATTAACCCTTTAAAACATGAGAAGAAGCCCTAATTAGAGCTACAAAGAATATACTGCTAATGGAAAGAGGTTACTTCACAAGTCCGACCACCTTTAACTAATAAGGAATTGAATTCTCTATTTATGGAAACCCTTTCTTCCTTTTATTATGATAAGCTTATTGGTAATACATCCATAGAATTTACTAATTTGCTATTTGCTATAGGCAGAATTGAGGTGGGATAAAAAAAAATTATGGATGCCAATATGAAAATAAAAGGGTAGGGGAATACTTTCGATGAATACATTCAAAAGTAATTGTTAAAGGGCAAAATCAAAGAAATTTCACCATGATGTAAGAAGATTTGATGAATGACTATTCGCATGTGAAAATTCCTAATTAAGGGCATGGGAAATTTTTTTATGAATATACTTAAAAGGTACTCATTGAAGGGTGAAATGATAGAAACCTCATCACGATACAAGAAGATTTGATGAATGACTATTCCTAATGGTCATTGTATTGTTCTTAACTAACATCTTAAGGTCAATAATTTTCGTCAACCACTTTATTTGTATGCTCCAATTCCTTTACCACTAACATTTATAGAATAAAAGATTAACTCAAGTTATTCATAAAGCCATAAGAGAAAATGGTCAAAATGTATTATTCACTCCTAGTGTCTTACGCTAAGCTCTTCACTTTACTTGTCAAAAATCTTATGATTTCTGTTGTCCCTACAAAACCCAAAAATCCTCCATACTCAAAGTGGTATAATCCTAATGCTAAATGTGAATTTCATTATGAGGTTGAAAGGCATTCCGTAGAAGACTATATTGCCTTTAAGGATATAGTTCAAGCTTTGATTGCCATGGATCTTGCAAAATTTAAAGAACTGGTTTATGGTTTTGATAATTGATAGTAAGAAAGTCGAGGGTCAATGATGCTAAAGTTGAAGTGTCAAGTGGGAAACTTTTATTTCTAAAACTTTGAATGTCATCTCAAGAGTACAAATAAGAATGTAAATTTTTGGTTTAGATTAGAGTATTTGCATTATATGAATAGATCTTGTGCACCATAAGTGTTTTATGGATTTATATTGTCATTTGATGTTGTTAATTTCTTTTAAATTTTGGACTTGTGGGATTTCTTTGAAACAAAATGGTAAGAAAGGGGAATTGTTGGATTCAAATAAAGCCACACTTAGTTAAGTCTTAAGGTTATAGAAAAAGAAATGCCTTTAAAAAAGAAAAAAAATGAAAAAAAAGAATAAAATGAAAAAAGACAAAAAATGGGCCAAAGTTTTGACTTTCGGTTTAGTTGGAGATCACTATTAAAAATTTTTCAAATACGTAAACACAATTTCTTAAATCATTCAATTGATTCCATTCATCAGCCATGACCCTTCAAAAGCCATGAGTTTAAATTCGTGAACTTTTTCCTTGCCTGATAATGTTATGATATCAAAGGAGATATTCTTTTCCCAGGTAATGAATAATGAAATAGCTAAGTGAAAGAAAAAAAAATTAGGATTCCTAGAAAATTAGGCATATATGATTTTTTTTTAAAATTCAGATATGATAATTTAATATATTAAAGTTACGCTGTAGCCCTAAAAATTTTCAATATCAAAGCCAACCTAAATCCTGTAAAATAATCTCAAACATACCAACCTTTAAGTTTTTTGCCCCAAAATTAGCCTAGTCAGTGTCATAGGGCGTTAATCAGAAAAGAAAGATTTTATTGCCCTTAAGATAATTTGAGTTATGATCAACCCATATGCTCTCTTTTGTGAAGTGAGATGAACCATTTGACAACTTAAATGGGTTTATTCCATATGATCCTTTTCAAGTTCATTCTATGTGACCCTTTTCTTATAATAACTTTCATTAAGGTTGGTTTGTTAAAATGAGGCATCTTCCATGATTTGCATTTTGAGCAAAGTGGACTAAGGTATAAATTATGGGGAGCATTTCAAACAAAAAAAAAAGAGAAAAAGAAAAAGAAAAAGGGCAAAAAAAATGGTTATGACATCATGAATTCGAATAAATCCAAAAAAAGTCCTAACAAATCTAGAATTTTGAAAAAGAAACAAGGTAAAAAAAAAACCAAAGTGAAAAGCCAAATGAAAAGGTTAAGAAAGACTAAATAAAAAAAGAAAGAAAAACTTTTGAAATAAAAACCTTTCTTCAAGTTTATTTTTCCAAAGAGAATTACTCATTAATTTAAGTGATCATGCTTGAAATGACAAATAGCTACCTTTCATCAACCTTTCACTAATGTGAAAATTTATCTTTTGCTATCCCTTTGGGCCTGATAAATTTTCTTTTAAAATAAACTCTAACTAAGGATCACCTTCTACACTTGGGGATAAAAAATGATGCATTTAAGGGTTAAGAACGGTGATGTCCAAATAGAATCCTATGTATTGGGTCAAAGGCCTAATATAAAAATTCTCAAAAGTTTTGAATCCATGTAATGAAAGAATGCAAAAGAAAAAGTGAAAAAAATAAAGAAGAAAAGAAAGAAAGAAGAATAAAGGAAAAGAAGGAAAGAAAAAAAAATGAATGGTGGAAAGTAT